ATCTCCTCGCTGACCGCCGTCAGGTACCTCCTCTGCTCGTCCAGGATCATGTCCAGCTGCTTGTGGAGCTGTTTGATCTCCAGGTGCACGCGGTTCTGCCCCTCGAAGATCTGCCGCAGCTCGCGGTCGCCCACGCTCTCGAAATCATCAGCTGGGGAGGGAAACGCTATTTACGGCCCTTGGGAGCATTTCCACCCCCCAAAACGCCTCCCCTGGCAGCTGATTTACCCCCCCCCACCCTCAAAAAATGGTTAAATAACTTTTGAGGGGAAAAAAAAAGCAGCAAGATTTTCAAAAGGAGGTGGCGGTGACGTCACCGAGTCCAAACGACCCCGAGGGCTGTGAGGGTTGTGTTTCGTAATCAGCGTTTGCAAACCTAAAATCAAACCATCAGGGCCTTCAGGACAGGCCCAATTTAATATAAGAATATGGTAAATAAAGAAATGTGATAAATAAAGGGCGGGTTTGGGGTGGTAGATTGCGGCACCGGTTCATTTACCGCCCGCAGAGGGAAATAGCGGCTGCTGGGAGATTTCCAGAGTCAATCCTTCCAGATCCTCCGAATTCCCACTTTTCCAGCCACCTGCTTCGTTCCCAACCCAACCCCAACCACAAGAACTTGCTGTGTCAGCACAGGAATTAGTAAATTAATTAACGAGTCGTAAATTAAAAAGGAAGGACGGCGGGAGCTCGGGAAGATCGGGCCTCGATTCTGATCATCCCGGAACAGAAAACGACGTTTCCCTTGACCTGAAAATCCACCTGCAACGACTCACCTGGCTGGCCTTGCACGTCGGGGTGTTCTTTTTGAAACTCCTCCTTCTTTTTGTCCAGCTCTTGTTGGAAGTGCTCGAACTCCTCCTGATACTTCTCCTTGTCCTTCTGAGGAATTTCTGCATCTGCTGGTGGCTGGAAAATATTGCCGGGGGAGGGGGGAGAGAGAGAGAGAGGGGCGTGAGGTTGGTTGGTCTTTCAGATATTAATTAGAACAACAAAAGCAAGCAGCGCAAATTTCATCGTCCTGAAATTTCATCGTCCTGATATTTCATTTTCCTGCAATCAGTGACGTCACAGCTTTAAACAGGTGGCAAGAATCCCCGAAGAGGGGAGATGCCATCACCCCCACATCAGTAATTATCTACAAAAATGCTTACTGCTTCCTTGCCGGGCTCGGTCAGCTGGAAGGTCAGGAAGGACAGCACGTCGTGGTCATCTGCGATCGACAAACCCAACAAAAGCCACGTCACGAATCCCAAACCCCAAATCCCAAATCCCAAACCCTTCCCTTGCCACCCACGAAGGATCTTCGAGGAAGGGAAAATTTTCCTCCCAGAGTTCTCCCAGGACAGAGCGTAAATTGGGAAGGGGAGAGCACCGATGACATCGCCGGGAATCGTTACGGCGGATCGACACCCAACCTCTCCTGCCGGCCCCCTTGGTGACAGATGGAAACATTTACCACCTGCCAGTCCCCCCGTGGCTGCAGATACTCCGAAGTAGCCCTGGGCTGGCAGCTGCATGTCCTCCACCTTGGCACACAGCTCGTAATCGTCCTTATCCGGGGTGAAGCCGTTGTTGACCAGCACCTGCAGCGACAAAACGCCGGTCATTTACCCAGCTCGGGGCGGGTCAATTTCAATCTTCATTCCATCAGCACACAGAATTCAGGCCCAGGATGAGGAGGGGGCAGGGAGCAGGCCCATCCCGACCTTGGAATGGGAAGTGTCGATGGCGAGATCGCGAACCTCGCTGATTACGACACGGGGGCAAGGTCCGCCCGCCCTGAGCGTGGGCATGTTTACCCTCCTCCCAAATGACAGCTCGATGGCTGACCCCCCTGGCTATCAGAAATATCAGTTTTGTGGCCGTCACCGCTCAGCCCTGCGCTCGTATTTCTCTCTCCTTACCGGGAGCAATTTACAGCCACCTGAAAATTACAACAAGACTCCCTCGCACCAGCGGTTTTCTATCTGCTTCGACCCTCCAAGCCCTGCTGATTCCTGGTAGATGAGAAGCCCGGAGTGGAAGATTTCCACCTTGGGGGTTGTGGCGATCTCAGGCTCCGAGGTAAATGGTTCTGGTGTTTCGGATCACTTACGGTCAGCGTTTTTTGGTAGTAGGCTATCTTCACCCGCACGGGGTAGGGCTTGTTCCGGAAATCCCTCAGGCAGGTGGCCAGGGCTTGGGTGGCGCCGTCACTGGAGGAGCAAAAAAACCACGTTAGGATTCATCAGCCCACAGCAGAAAAGCATCGACACCGACAGAAAACGTTCGGTGAATTTTCCAATTTACCACGGGACGCGGGAAAGGGGATCTGTCTGCCCTCCCCCCCAATAACACCGTCGATAAACTCACTTCTGATGGTCGTAGAGGAGCTTCCCGTTGTTGCCAACGACAATCACCCCGGGGTTGTTTTTCTAGGGGGAGAGAGAGGAAACGGTAAATAAACAGATCCATCTGCTACGGAATTTCGGGCCCCCCCAAAAAAAAACCAGTGGGGGGGAAAAAAGTCTTGTAAAGAGAAAATTTATTTGATTTTATCCCCCAAGGAGCGAAAGGGGAGGAAAAGCAGGAAAAAACGCCATCCTGGGGGTGGTGAACTGATGAATTCACCAGCGGGTAAATCGCGACTCACCTTGCCGTCGTTGTCGAAGGAATCAAAGAAGACCCCCACGCCGTTCCACTTGTCGGCCGCCCCGAAAACGGGCCCTTCCAGGCCTTGCTCCTCCGTAAACCACACCGCCTGGTGAGGAAAACGAGCCGTAAATTAATTTTCGGAGCGTCGATGATTATTTCTCGGGGCGAGACGGAGCGGTTCGTACCAATCCGTCGGCTCCGATGCGGCCTCGCCCCGTCACTCGGAAGGTCACCTCGACCTCCCAGTGCTCGAAGAGCGCCTTGTTCTTGGTCCACACCGAGCCCTTCTGGCTCTTCAGGGAGGTGGTGATGCGGATCTGATCGGCGCTCGGGATGGCATCTACCCAAGGGAGAGGAAAAATCGTCAATTATCTGCGTAATTAACAAAGCTTTTAAGTTTTCTGGGCTGCTCAGCTAGAGGGGGGGGTTTTGGAAGGAGCTTTTCAGAGGAGAGGTTTGAGAGGGCAAAGCGTAAAAGAACATTTAGAAAGGTGTTCGTTCACTCGCGTTAATCGACATCGATTTAAAGCAGGGGGAAAATAAGCTCATCTATTGACCATTTCCTTCGTGCCCAGAGTAAAAGAATTGACATTTATGAATGAAGCAACGTCAATTAATTAAAAGTGAGCAAAACACCCGAAAGCACGGCGGAATTTACCGATGAGAGAAGCCATAAGAAGTCAATACAATTTACAAGAAGAACCAGAAACCCTCAACCCGCACAGATGTACAAACGGCTCAACAAAACTACATTCGCTAAGAAAGACTTTTCCTTTCGCGCTTTTCTCCGATTTTATCCCCGGCGAGCCGGCAGTGCCACCTCAGCACCGGCCGGGCCGGGCCGGGCCGGGCCAACCCCCAGCGATCCCCCCCACGCCACGCCACGCCGCGCCACTCACTGCCCGTGTGCACCCAGAAGGGCACGGTGCCATCCGCCTGCACCAGGTGCGGCCCTTTGAAGCTGTACTTGTACTCGAAGCGGCGATGCGGAGCCTCCTGAGGGGTGGCGAGGGCCGGCAGGGCGAGGGAGAGCAGGAGCGGGACGAGGGAGAGCTGAGGGCACCGCGCCGCCATCTTGGGCCGTGCGGGACGCCGGGCACGGCCAGCGGGGCGCGCCCTGATTGGTCGAGAGAGAGAGGGGAGGGGGGGGGGGGGCGCGCGAGGGGGCGGCGCGAGGGGTTCGGCGTGAGGGGGCGGCGCGAGCGGCGGCGGGGAGAGGGATCGCTGTTGGAGGTTCGGTATGAAGGGTTCGGTACGAAGGGGTTCGGTACGAGGGGGTTCGGTATGAAGGGTTAGGTGTGAGGGGTTCGGTGTGAGGGATCGGTGTGAGGGGGCGGCGCGATGGATTCGCTGTGAGGGATCGGTGTTGAAGGGGCGGCGCGAGGGGGCGGCGCGAACGCTCCGGTCTGAGGGGGTTCGGTGTGAGGGGGCGGCGCGAGGGGCGGCGCGAGGGATCGTTGGGAAGGTTCGGTGTGAAGGGGTTCGGTGTGAGAGGTTCGCTGTGAAGGATCGG